TTTTTTTTTTTTTTTTTTTTTTTTTTTTTTTTTTTTTTTTTTTTTTGTACCTTTTTTTTTATCTCATTTTTATGATCTTTTTTTAAGATGATTCGAAGAATGCTCATTTGAAAGAGCTGGATGGAGCTAAGGAAAGGCTAACGTTGTATGCTGCTGATCTTCTTCATTTTGAGAACCTTAAAGCCGCCATTATGGGCTGTGACGGTATTTTTCATACTGCATCACCCGTAACCGATGACCTTGTAAGTGAAGAAATTATTCAATGAGACTCACAACATGACTATCTTTCAGTTTGGTAGTAGTTTAACATTTACGATGGTGTGTATCGATAGGAAAAGATGGATGAAGCAATAATTGGAACAAAGAACGTCATAACGGCGGCGGCCGAGGCCAAAGTCCGACGGGTTGTTTTCACATCGTCGATTGGGACCGTGCACATGAACCCTAATCAGAACCCGGACATAGTGGTTGATGAGTCTTGTTGGAGTGACCTTGACTTTTGCAAAAACACTAAGGTAAGTAACATGGCATTTTTAACTTTTGCCTCTTTCTCAAAATATATTTTTCTTTTATTTTAATTTTGTATTTATAAATTTATCTAGTTTAATTAAAGGTCAGAGTAAAACAATAAACTAATAGAATAATGAGTAGCTGCCTCCTCCAATAACTTCGGGTGATAAAATTTGAATTTGTACTCTCTGGGCTTTCACTTTCGGGTTTTCTCTCAAGTGGAAGAGAAGGGAGAGAGTTCCACACCCTTATAAAAAATGTTTCGTTTCTCTTTTCAATTGATATGAGATCTCACAATTTATCCCTCTCGAGGCCTAGTGTTCTCACTGGCACTCGTTCCCCTCTCCAATCGACGTGTGATTATTGTGAGATCCCACATCGATTGAAGAGGGGAACAAAACATTTTTTATAAGGGTGTGGAAACCTCTCTGTAGTAGGCGTTTTAAAAACTTTGAGGGGAAGACTATAAGGGAAAGTGTAAAAAGGACAATATCTGTTAGCGGTGGGCTTGGACGGTTATAAATGGTATCAAAGTCAGTTATCAAACAGTGCGAGGCACTAGTCGGAGTAGAGCTAGTTCTCTCTCTATAATATACGCGTTTTAAAACTGTGAGGCTAACGGTGATACATAACAGAACAAAGTAGACAATATCTGCTCGTTGAAGTTGTGCATTACCCACTGATCTATATTGATTGCATATTGGACAGAACTGGTATTGCCATGCAAAGACAATAGCAGAACAAACAGCATGGGCAATGGCAGAAGAAAAAGGGGTTGATCTAGTGGTGGTGAACCCAATGCTGGTGCTTGGACCATTACTACAACAAACAATAAATGCAAGTGTAGTTCATATAATGAAGTATTTGACAGGGTCAGTCAAGACCTATGTGAATGCAGTTCAAGGTTATGTTCATGTTAAGGATGTTGCAAAGGTTCACGTTTTGGTTTACGAGACTCCCTCGGCCTTCGGTAGATATATTTGTGCCGAGACCATGCTTCATCGCGCAGAATTGGTTGAAATTTTGGCTGATTTGTTTCCCGAGTATCCCGTTCCTACTAAGTAAGTTTAAATCTCTCCTTCTCTAAAGATCAAAAGTGTTAATTTTAAACCGAAGGATATCAAAGGATTCAGAGTTATAATTAGGTATTTGTGTGTTGATATGGAATGGTAGGTGCTGTGATGAGAAGAACCCTAAGAAGAAAGCTTACAAATTTAGTGTAAAAAAGGTTAAAGACTTAGGCATGGCCGAGTTCATACCTGTGAAGCAATGCATATATGAAACTGTGAAGAGTCTTCAAGAGAAGGGTCATCTTCCACTTCCACTTCCAACTCGACCTCATCAATCTATGTCATTTTGCTAGTCGACGTCGGCACCATAGGGATTCACGAGACACTCGTCGTCGTTGTTCACTTAATCTTTGTCGTGAGCTGTTATAGTAGTTGTCCATCAGTGCACTTTTTTTTTTTTTTTTTTTTTTTTGTAATTACCT